GCCCCACAACCGTCCTTTTCTTTGCAGCCTGCTCCAGCTGGTGATCTCGGGCCCCGTGCCGCAGTCTCCGCACGCCGCGCTCCCGCCTGGCTTTTACCCTCACATCCACACCCCTCCGCTGGGCTACGGGGCCGTGCCAGCCCACCCCGCGGCCCACCCCGCCCTGCCCACGCACCCTGGGCACACCTTCATCTCGGGCATGCCCTTCCCCTTCCGGCCCATCCGCTAGCTGGCCGGCGGTGCCGTCCATGGCGGAGTGCCCTCTGTGCCCGACGAGGGAGCCCTCGGAGAGCTTCGTGTGGAGTCCAGGCGTCTCCTGCCCGACCACGCTCCCTCCCAGCAGCAAGCCAGATTGGATGACGAAGGAGGCGGCCAGGGCCCTGTGAAGAGCGCCGTGGGGGCTCTGTGCTGCCAGGGAGGGAGGGGAGCCATAGCAGGCCTGCAGTGCAGGCAGGCCCTTCTCAGGCTCCGTGAGCTCAGAGCTGGTACGTGGGGGTTGCAGGTATGTGCACAGCGCTTAGTTAGCACTGTTCAGGGAAGCCTGACGGGATGACCCCGTCACCCAGGAAAGGAACTTCTCTGTTGTATGGAGGTCTCTACGTTTTCCTTTCAGATGTTCAAATAAACTTTTTCTAAACAGCTCGCTCGCCTGGTGGAAAGCACATTAAGGACCGAGGGCTTCCACCTAACGGAGGACAGAGGCTTCTGTCCCTTCTGTCAGGAGCATCACCGGCGCCACATCCCTGCCCATGCCAGAGGGAGAGCCTGGCCCTGCTGGTCCCCCAGCACCTGGATGTGTTTGCTTCGGGGACATGGCCGGCTTCCCTCAGATGCAGAAGACTGTCCCTGGGGTTTTCCAGCACACAGCAGTCTCCTGCGTCCTCCATGCCGAGACGGAGGGAAGGCGACAGAGGCACCTCACCTCATCCCTCTCGGCCTGAAGGGGGCATTGCCGACAGTGTGGCTGCCTGGGAGTTAAAGGACTGGGGCGGAGGTGACCGAGCTTCTGTCTGGTGGCCCTGTTGCCACTTTTGGCTGCCTAACAAAGCCATGTGTCTGTGTGTTGGTGGGAGGGGGGCGGTGGAGATGGGCCTGGAATTGATGGCGCACTCACGGAGCCCCTCAGGCGGTTCATGCACTCAGCTGCAGTCGGAAGGTTGGAGATGCAAGTCCACTCAAGATGCCTGAAAGAAAGGCCTGGGCCTTCTTCCAGCATATCAGCCCCTGGGGGCCTGCAGGGCCCTCAAAGAGGGCAGGTGGCGGTGCTGGGCACGATGAGTGAGTGGCTAGGGGGCCACGGGGTCTTGGGAGTGAGGGTCCCGGGGCTTCCCCGTGCATTGCACCTGGAGCCCCCGGTTCCCAGGCAGTGTGGCACTGGCTCGTCTTTTCCAGGAGGACTTTACGTTCGTGTGTTACTTGTCTGATTAAACGCTCGTCTTTCCTTGGGGGATTTCTGCTTGTGGTCAGGATGGGCAAGGCTGTTCAAGCCAGCCCTTCCTTTTAAAAGAGCAGGAGCACTGGATAAACTACAGAAACTCTGAGGTCGAGAGATACAACGGGGTCCAGGGCTACAGCCTGAGGGTGGAAGCTGTAATCGCAGGACATTGACCTGCCCTCCCACCACCACCACCACCACAACTGGCAAACAGGTTTTCATGTGGGTGGCCTAAAGGGGTTAAGGACGCGAGGAGACAGACTCTTTACATCATGGGGTGGGGTGGGGGGCACCAGAGACTACATGGACTGCAAGGAAGGATACCTGGGCACCACACACAGCAGTGGTCGTCTCGAGGGAAGCTTGGCTCAGGAAAGGTCCCCGGACTCGCAGCTCCTCCTGGTGCTTAGAGGCATGCGCAGGTCATCCGGAGGAAGGCCACTCACAGGCCTCTAAGGAGACCAAGGGAGCTTCCAGGACAATGAGCTATCAGTCAGCAGGGCCTTGAGATCGAGCACCAGCAGCAATAGCTTCAGGAGGGCTCTGGTTGTTAGGTCATCAGACCAGAAAACAACCCTGATGTGGGCTAAGGGAAAAACAAACCGTGAAGCTATTGGCAGAGGAAAAGGACATTTTGAAAAGTAACAAAGCGGGTTTGGGAAAGCTCCAAATAGAAGTTGTGAAAAGAAAACGGAGATGCCAAGATCAAGTCCCTGGCACTGGGTGACAGTGCAGCACGCTGGTGCCACCTCTTGCCAGAAAGGCTGGCAGGATGGTATATACGTTTGCCTCTGACCTAGAGAATGACTCACCCACGAAAACCCATGGGCAAAGTGCAAATTACTGTATGCCCAAACCAATTCTGGTGACGCTGTCAGGAAAGCCTGGTACTGCTAACCAGAAGGTCAGTGGTTCAAACCCACCAGCAGCTGCTTGGGAGAAAGTGAAGGCTATTCCGCTCCTGTGAAGATTTACCGCCATGGAAACCCTACATAGTGTCTCTATGCGTCTGGAATCAACTTGATGGTGACAGTGGAGATAGTCATTACATCATTTATGCTCAAGAATGGGAGTTTCCCAAAGATGATCAACAGATTGACACTGTAGCCACATAATAAGAGTTAGGCCACTTTTTTGTTTTTTAAAAGATATTCATGTTCTCTAAGTGGAATGTCCACCAGGATTTATGTTTAAGGCTCAGAAAAGTATATTTTGTGGATTTCAAAAAGTTACGTTTTTTTTTAAATTCTTGGTTGTATGGCTATAGGATATGACTCATGATCATAGGACCCTGAGTTAACCAGTCACTAGGACCCTAACTTGTAACAAATTATGTACTCAAGCAAGTGCCCGAGTTCCTGGTGTCACCCCAAAGACAAACTGCCCACCTGGGACTTACCCATCAGCCATGAAAAGGGAGTCAGTTGCACTGTTTGGGCTGCCTGTTGGTCTCTGCATCTGGACACCCCTTGAGAACGCCCCGAAGAAGAAATCGGCTTTGTTACTGACTTGACTTTATTCGGATCACTAATCAATGTCCACGGAAGCAGAAGTGAAATCAAATGGTGGCCGTAACGCATGGGGCAAAACTGCCGCAAAAGTCCTCTTTAAAACAAAAAGCCAAAGATGTCACTTTGAGGACCAAGGGGCACCTGACCCGATCCGTGGTCTCTGCAGTTGCCTCACATGCATGCGAAAGGCAGGCAAGGACTAAGGAAGAGCTGAAGATGGACATATTTGAACTGTGGGGTTAGCAAAGAATGCTGAACATACTACGGACTCAAGCCGGAACAAGTGTCCAGAAGAAGCAGAGTTCCTTCAACTTGAAGCTGGCAAGACTTCAACTGGACTCCTGGTATGACGCCTGGGGTTTCAGAGTAGAACTTCGCCGCTTCATCCGGTTTTCAGTGACCTCTCCTGCGGCGCTGCTGCGTAGGTTCAAGTCACCAGCCTTTTGGTGAGTAGCTGAGAGCAAACTGTTTGCACCACCCAGAGGACCTGGTCTTTTGGTCGTCTCCCAGGCATGTGATAGTTGGATATTGAATAAGGAAGATGAAAGAGCAATCGACACATCTGCATGTAGATACGGGTAAAGAATCTGGAAAGTTCCACGGACTCCCAAAAGAAGAAATACATCAAAAAAAAAAGAAGAAGAAGAAGAAATACATCTCTCTTGGAAGAATTACAACCAGAATGCTCCCTAGAAGCAAGTACGGCAAGACTTCATCTCCCGTACTTTGGACATGCCATCAGGACAGTCCAGACCCTGGAGGACATCATGCTTAGTAAAATAGGGGCAGCAAAAAAGCAGAAGACTCTCCATCAGATGGATTGCCACAGTGGCTGCGACAATGGGCTCAAACATAAGAGCAATTGTGAAGATGGTGCCGGACAAGGTGGTGTGTGTTTCCTTCTGTTACACATGGCATCACTGTGGCCCAGAACCCACTGGATGGCACCTAACAACAGGCTATGGGCCTGCTGGTGACTGAATCTGGCAGAGGGAGATGGTACAGGCTCAAGGAGGGAAGGACCCCTGGGGAGTGGAGTGGGGGGAGTGAAGGCTCCCAGGAGCAAGGAGGAGGGCAAAACGTGACAGTTCAAAAGCCACCTTCAGCGGAAGGGACAACTCTGTCCTTGGACCCTCCGAGGAGAGAGGACAGTGCCCACCTGCGCTGGGCCATGGGGAGAGCAGGGGTCAGCCCATTTCCGAGGACTTCCCTCAGACCTGTTAGGAGAACCCTCCCTTGAGCCCACTTTTTGCTTTGATTTTTTTGGCCCAAATCCAAGTTCTCCCCCAATTTTCATATTTTTAAAAAATAGGTTTATTGTGGTGCTGTGTCCATCGCAAAAAGCACTTGCCATCTCACCCACTCGTGTACCGTTCCGAGGCGTGAGCACGCTTCGTCTCACCATATATGCACACCGTGTCCAGTGACAGTGATTCTTGACTTTACACCAGACGTTCACCAGGCTTAGCTCATCTCAGGTCCTCTTCAACATGAACGTGATCACCTCTGACATTCCTAGGAGGCCTGTTTCCAGAAAACCAAGCCACACGGATAACACCCTCATTTTCACTTGGCCCAGCCATTATGAGGCGCTCCTCAAACCCTCCCTGGTTTCACCCCTTCCCGGCTGTCTCACCCCAAATCTCCACCCACTACCCTGAAGTAAGACATCGCGGTGGAGTAATGAGGGTGCCTACAGCCTATCAACTCGGGGCCACCGCCTGTGAATGGCTGGCGAGCAGCCTCGACTCGGGCCAGGCCCCTGGTGCCAGCAAAGCCAGGCTATCGGCCGCATATAGACAAGGGACACGCGCCTTCTGCCGCTTCCTAGGATGGTGCTACTGGACAGGTAGATTTCTTGGCAAGGGTCCAAGAGGAAGCCCCCAATTCTAATGTATAGGGTGGGGGTGAGGCAGGAAGATAAAAGAATAGAGGTGGCAAAGACATGAGCTGATGAAGGGAGCCAGAGAAGAGGTGGGGATAGGATAGCTATGCATGCCCCTCTCCAGCTGGGCATCCCATCCAACACTGCAGTTCCCCACCACTGGATCTTGGGGGTTCTCAGGAGAGTTTAGACTTTCAAGAGACTTCATGGGGTCTCTCTGGAGGGGAACCTTCGTGACCCAGGCAAAAGTTAGCTACTGGGGCATTTAGCTCTGCCAGGTTCACAAGGGGTGGGGGTGGGGCTATCCTACTACACCCCAGCCAGCCTGAGACCAGAGTAGCATGTGTGCAGAAGAGGTGTCTGCTGGGCCCGGGATGGGGCGGCCTCATTAACTGTCATCTAATTGTTAATTAACCAGACAGACGAACCCCAGTCAGGAGCACCCGGAGTCTGGGCCTGTTTTGCAGGACTGGCAGGGACCCAGTATTGGAGCCCCCATCACTCCCGTCCAGCGCGCCGCACCCAAAAACCAGCCGTCGCCAGTCCCAGCACCCGCACGCGCGCGCGCCCCGAGGCCACCGGCCACCCGGATCGCCAAGGGTTAAGCCCACCGAGCTGGCGGTGGCCTAG